AGTCAAGCAATAAAATGCATGTTGAATCCCCAAACTTAAGAGTAACTTTTTGCAATTATTATAATTAAAATTTTAGTTTAAGTATTTATTTGATAATTCTAAGTTTACACCACAAGTTATCGTAAAGCACATTACGTGCACGAAAATTTTACAACATACATGAATTTTTCTTCTCTTCCAGCGTGTAATAATAACTACTTATTGGTCAACTTTACTTGACAGTTTTAGTCTATTTGAATGATACATCCTAACAAGCATCTCTCTTTTGAGCACATCCCATGATAAACCCCCACCCCCACCCCACTCCTTCTCCTATTTGTTATGATGTTTTTTTATTGGAAATAATTATGATGATTTTTATATGCAACAAGAAGTTCTCGTTCTCCGTATTTATGTTTCTAGTAGCTTCAGTGGCATTTTAACTGGTATTACAACTGTTTCATTCATCTTGTTCATGTTACAACTTCCTAGTACCTTCAATTGTTTTGAATTGAATTGTCCCCTGAAAATTTGTGATATGGAACTACCCTAATTTTTCTTCTATAACAAATGCTAATGGTTCCTCTATCATTGTTTGTGGCACCCTTTGAACTAAAGGGGATAATATATAAATTTTAATTACTAATTCACAGTTTTACATTGAAAAGCCTTCTTTAATCTCTAAAAAAAAATGATCAAACAACAAATTTAGGCCTAGTAAAAAGTTAAGAGGACTCTCTTAAGGTCATCCCCATGATTTATCCCCGTAATTGTTTGGTGTATGTGGGAGAAGAACTAAGTATTTTCGAGAAGATCACCCGCGTGTTCTAAGTAGCTTGGATATCTTCCTGTTTCGTGACAGGAAACAGAAATGTCATTAATACTATAAAATAAATTACAAAAGAAAATCCATGGTGGACCAGTAGTCCAAACCAAAGACACAACAAAAAAGGAAAAACATACGTAAAGAAAACAAAACTACATTCCTCATGAGGTTTTCCAATTAGAGGTAATGCCAAAAAGGGGAATATCCTCAAATTCCTTAGACACAGAAGCCCAAAAAAAGTCAAAAAATGAATCTGCCCTCATTCAATCAAATTACTTTTCCTTCTAAATTCCCCAAACAGTAGCGGAAAAAAAAAAAAAGCACGAGCACAAAGGGTCCTCCCACCTCTTATTATATCCCCCTCCCATAACATCCAAGCTTATCATGGATCTCATATTTCTCGATGTCGCGCAACAATGGCCAATATAATTACACAACATATTCCATATTGAAAGAGCAATGGGACAATGCAAAAAAAGATGATCCACACTTTCACTATATCCATTACACATCACACACCATTGTAGTTGAAGACAAACTAATGGTCTTCTTCTTTGAAGTACATCATAAGTGTTAATTTTACCATGTGAAATTATCCACAAACATATTTGCACCTTTAAAGGCGTTGTATCTTCCCAAATCAACTTTCCAAATTGATGGAAGAAATAGTGGAATTGAGGGATCATCAATTAAAGAATCAAAGAAAGATTTACATGAGAACGCACCATTAGACTCAAGAGACCCACATCTTTTATCCAAGCTATCATGGAATAATGAGATATCACTAGGCAAAGAAAGAACCTCCACCATCTCTAAGCATTCCCTGTCATATATATTCCTACGAAAACCAAAATTCGAAGAAAAAGTATTTGAATAGGACCAAATAAAAGAAACAACATTTTGTTCATGAAACCTAAAATTCCGATAAAGTCGAGGAAAGAGACTTGAGACGGAAGACCCCCCAACCTATATATCCTCCCAAAAACAAATCATAGCTCCATAACCCACAAAAAGCTTAATGCACTGGGAAAAAAAAGGTAACCCCTGGGAAATAAACTTTTATTGACTTCAAAACTACATCTTTATGCCCCATTAGCATCTCACTCATAACATGTAACTCATATTTACTCTTAATAACAAAACACCACAATGATTTGGTCCAAAGAGAATCTCCAAAGCCATTTTTCAATCAAAGCAACGTTTCTTTTCAGCAAATTTCCAACCGAAAGGTCTCCTTTAGCATTGGATCTAGAAACCACCTCCCAGGATATTCAAAATGATCTTTCTTGCCCTCTCCACTCCTTTCTCATAAAAAATCCCTTAACACCCCTTCAATTCTCCGAGCTACCAAAACAGGCATCTTAAAAAAAGACATGAAATAAATAGGAATGGTAGCCAACACAAACTGAACTAATGTTAACCAACATCCCCTAGAAATAAAGGTTTTCTTCCTCCCATCTTTTCCCAAGCTTTTCCATAACTGGGTCCCAAAAAGACTTAGACATCAGATTTCTCTCTAAAGGAAGCCCTAAATACTTTAAAGATCATCCACCCACATAACATCCCATCTCAAGAGCCAATCTGTCAATCTTATCCTGACTAGTGTTAATGCCCATAAGGGTAATCTTTTCCATATTAACCTTAAGACCCAATTAATCCCAAAAACTTCAACGATTTTCAGCAAAATTTTGACTTTCACCTCATCTCCTGATGAAAAGAAGATAGTATCATCAGCAAACAGTAAGTGAGAGACAACAGCTCTATCCCTTCTAATCACAAACCCTTAACTAGATTACATCTATCTGCCTTCTCCAGTAATCTACTCAAAACATCAGCCACTAATGTAAACAAAAAAGGGGATAAATGATCTCCTTATACCAATCCCCTAAATGCTTTAAATTTACCCATTGGTCTCCCATTTATCATGATCGAGAAATTCATTGAATCCAAACATTCCCTCATCCATGTTTTCCACCTCTCCCCAAATCCCTTCACCTCCAAAACAAAGTCAAGAAAATTCCAAACCACATCATCATAGACTTTCTCAAAATTAAGTTTCAACAGAATACCCTCCCCACCTCTAGTTCTATAATCACTTCATTAACAATAACAGCCACATCCAAAATCTGTCCACCTTTTACAAAAACCCCTTGTGAACCAAAAATAGTGGTACTCTAACACTCCAAGCCTTGTTGCAAGAACCTTGGCTATAATGTTGTACAAACTAGTAACAATGCTTATAGGTCAAAAATCCTTCAATTTCAAAGAGTTAAACTTTTTTTGGAACAAGGCTTAGATATCTTCTTTTTAGCACTGTTACTTGGTGAAAATTTACATATTACAACCCTACACCATCCTCTGTGTATGTCCCTAGATCCTGTTTTGTTGATTTACTATCATGATCCCAACATTACACAAAAATTCAAGCCTGATTCACTACCCAAAAAGTAAAGAATTCAAATAAATAAATAGATAACATAGGACAAAAAATGGCACTACTCGCATGTATGAGTGTGTATTTATGCATGTACATAAACTTTTTTTAACTGCTGAATTATTTTTCAAAAATGTAAGCTCCTACATTGTCTTTTTACGAAAATGGGTCCAATGTTCATGTCCTACTAAGTTGATTTTCAAAAGTGGCTTTCCTATCTTTAATTTTCTGCCACTCCTGTCCTCCATTTTTTTTATATCTATGTTCTAACTTTCTACTGTTTCCCCCCCTCCCCTA